AAGACAACCTGGATGGTTGATCAGAAAGGTATATCGCGCCAGGTAGGGAGAGGAGCACAAGTTGGTGTGGGCGCGCAGGCCGCAGCTACCCTGGAACAGGCCTCAGAGGGCTGAATCGTAGGCAGCTGTGGTGGTTTCCAGACTTCTCAACTGACTTCTCAAGGTCAGTGGGAAAAGTCTGTGACTGTGGTGAGAGAGGAGCTAGGTCTCAGCCACAAGTCTTGAGCGCGGCCCGGGGCCTTGGCCTTGTCCTGAGCTTCTGGCCCACAGACTGAGGGGGAATTGAGTTGCTGATCAGAGGGGGATTGCAGAGATCTCTTTGCCAGTGCTGAGGCAGGAATCTCTTGCTTTCCTGGTGCTTGGATCTGGGTCACAGCTCTGAGGGGCAGTCCTGGGACGAGGAGGAATGCTGGTGCGGTGGAGCTCATTGTGGCGGTGGAGATAAAACACCTCACCCCTTATCATAGCACCTTGGAAGAACTGAAAATTTACAGGTCCCTAGAAGTATCTCTGAAAACAGCTGTACAAACCCCCGAAGCTTGGGACAGTACACTCTTCACATTGGAAGAAGACTTTTACCTTAACAAAGAGTTTAAAACTCAAGTAATTGGCCAGGATCATGAGTAAGCCGTGCAAAAAGGGTTAGACTATATTATCTTACTTTGGTGACAAAGAAGATCAAAACATACAACCAGAAGAAGACAACAAAGCCAAAGTTCCTACATCCAAAGCCTCCAAGAAAAATATGAATCAGTCCCAGGCCTTGGAAGAGCTCAAAAGGGATTTTGAGAAGCAAGTAAGAGAAGTAGAGGAAAAACTGAGAGTGATGCAAGAAAATCATGAAAAACAAGTCAACAGCTTTCTAAAGGAGACCCAAAAAAATACTGAAGAAAATAACACCTTAAAAAATAGCCTAACTCAAATGGCAAAAGAGGTCCAAAAAGCCAATGAGGAGAAGAATGCCCTAAAAAGCAAATAGTGAATTCCTCTGAAGTGTTCACATTATTCATATTTATCCTGCATGTTTATTTCCACTGAGCTGGAACCAATTACCCTATTTTACATAATTATAACTTTGAATATTGCAAATTCAAATACACGGGACCTCTTCAGAAGATTCATTATTCACTCTAATTGAGACCTAGGTATATCAATGAAATCATAGGTATCTTTGAAAATAGATATATAAGAAACACCTGAACATTCTTATAATGCAGTTATGTAAAATGAGAGCTAATTAATGGTAATTATCATCATCTGCATTTTGACAGAAATGAAGATATGAGGTAGATAAATGATAAACTTGGATTTAGAGCAGCAGTTGGTGGAACAAGGAGTAAGATCTGTTTTTCTTTCTTTCTTTCTTTCTCTCTTTCTCTCTTTCTTTCTTTCTCTCTTTCTTTCTTTCTCTCTTTCT